GGGGCGGCTCACAACATTAGGTTAAAATGCAAGAAATAACAATATAAAATAAGTCGTCCTGGCCAGATAAAATAATCAATAATATTAACAATTAAAATGACGCTTAAATAAAAAGGTCTTCGCCTGGCGCCGAAAAACAAATAACGACGGCACCAGGCGGACCTCTCTGGGGAGCACTTTATCACAGTGGATGCCTTAAGTGCCTTCAGACCATACACTGGGCCATTGCCTTAATGGGGCTAGGAAGACGTGTACAGGATCGCATCCTTATGTCTTTGAAACAGGCCAGGGCCTTGCCTTTCTGTGCGAACACCCAGAGAACACCAGTGTCCCCTAGTCCTTCCTCAACTCTGCTTCCTGAACCATCTTGAGACTAAAGGTGATTTAACCAGCTCGCAGTGTGTGACACTGAAGCTGTTGGTAAAGAATGTGCTCTTAAGCCACACAGTCTGCACTGTCCAACTGGGTCCCTCTGCTAGTAGCAGTGACATTCGTTTAGGAAAAGCCAGGTGCAGAATTCCGCACAAGAGGAGAATGCAGCTCGTGTTGCTTTCGTGTGAGCACACGAGGTTCGACATCACACTTACATGATCGCTTGTGTAATGATCAAGTTTGAGCAGCCACCTGCCCAAGCGTAAGGCACAGATGGATGTGCAGTGGTAATATTTTGTGGCGCTCTCCTGCTGCTGTTTGTGTTGATGGAACGGCACTGTTGGAAACGGCCTCAAGTCTTTCAGGAACTGTTAAGCCAAAGTAACTAGTTGATTGTGGCTTGATGTATAACATCCCTTCAGAGAATCCAGAACTGTAAGCCAATTTTTTAGAACCAGATTTGCCGTTCAGAAATTAAATGTTAATCAGGTGAAATTCAGCGCAGGTAGGGATGCCCTGTTACGTCTCTTATATTCAATTAGCCTGCAATAAAAACAAACCATGCTGTGAGCCCCCGTGCTCCCTTCTTTCCCCCCGCAAGCTTGAAGGCCACCATGCTGGCTGTCTTCTCTCGCACTGCGTGCTGTGGAGACTGAAGCAGCTTTAAGTTCCAGCAAAGGAATGCTCTTTGGAGTGCTGGAGCCATTAATCTGAGGGTACGTGAACCGGGGGCCTGCATGGGCGATTGCTTCTCTGCTGGAAAGCATAGGCCCCCTGTGGACCAGCTTTCTGTCTTGCTCTGCCTTTGCACCGTGATTGATGCCACCATTTACAGTCTCTGTATAAACTTTCTCTTCTTGTTACTGGGCTTCCTATGCAACAGAGCGGTCAGCTGACGGGTTCTCCTCCACAGCGCGCCCTGCCTCGTTCTTGCTTTGCTCGATCGTCTCAGAGCCCTGTGCTGGATCCCTTTGCCCGGCCATGCATTTATGTTCCTCGCATATGGGCTGCCTTCTGGAATTGTTCTTGGCTGATGTTTCAAGCCTGCAATCTCTATTTGCCTCTTTTTAAAATTTTATTTTAGGCATTAGATTTCTGTGTGCCCACTGGCCAAGGTTCTCTGGGATGTTCAAAACCCTAAAATGCAACATGAAACTTGTAAAAGTTTGAAATAGAACAGAACTAAAGTGAAAATTGGAGTCAAAACCAGTTAGTCTCTCTCTCTCTCTCTCTCTCTCTCTCTCTCTCTCTCTC